AGCTACACTACGGTAGTGGAAAGATTGAATCATATTACCACAATTCCTTCTAACATGACGATGGCTTCTCAAGTCTTCTGCAGAAGCACATATCGTCACTTAAGCTATGAGCTCATGGTCTTAAATCGTTTTCAATTTATAAACCTTTTTTAACTAAATGGATTTTTACTTCCAAAACATGTTGTGAACACTAATTGAATGTTGTTTAGTTCCGATGCATTGGTTACATGATGATAAAACTGCTTGTGATTCTGGTTTCAGAGGAGACGCTGCTGCAGTGCACTGATCTTGCATCCTGTGTCCGACTCCTAAAACCTGAACACCTAACCACTGGCCTGGAGCTCATTCGCCGAATTCAGGAGCGTCTTGTGGCCATCCTCCAGCACTCCACTCAGGTAAACCTACTCCTGTTTGTACTTCTTTGGGGTGTAAACATGAACTTGTTTATTAAAAGCTTTATTCAAAGCACTCATTTGACCATCTGGGATGAATCGTCTTTTTTGGCAGGACTTCCGTGTAGGATATCAGTCCAAGACTGGGCCAGACCAGGAGACCGCACAGGCCTCTAATCTGGCTAACCACACAGACACCAACAAAGAGTGAGCCGCCACACGTTTACAGAGAATCACAACTGACTTCTGCAACAAGCTTGACCTTTTTCATTTTTTATTTCAGGTCCAAATCTGATGGAGACTCTGACAACAACAACTGCGCCGGCGAGGACCCCGGCGATGAAGCGGAGGAGGATGACGAGTATGACGATGAATACGTTCCAGAATGGCACGAGGATTACGATGAGGAAGATATAGATGATGATGACTTCTTTTCTGATGATGACGAATCTGAAAACTTAGAGAGGGACTTCAGCCCTTTGGACTAAATGACCCTGAGAGCGATACACAATGCTTACACGATGCCTACCCATGTAAAAGTAGACACTACAAATTCCACACCCATATAAGAACAAAAAAAAGTTATGGGAATCCAGAGTTTGGAGTAGGTTTTTCTATAACGTGGTTTTTGCTTCGCACTTAGCACCTACTTTGAGCCCTAGCGTAAATTCGTCGTTACACCAAAAGTGGTATTTCACGTTTATTTAGGTTTATGCTACAGTTTCATTAACTTAACGAAATTGTAACTTCGTTCATGGCTGATGAGGGTACTTTAAGTTCAATGAAGGATCTTAATTATTGATGTCATATTGTAGAGGTATTATGTTTTTGAAACCATTCATAGTTTTGTTATTAACAAATTAGAATTTGTTGGGTCAAAAATTGAAAAAGCTTTTTTTTTTTTTATCTGGTCAAAGGTGTTGGCATTGTGTATTTGGTTTGAACACCAAAAGCACTTGCCTTTATTCCATTTTAAATTCCTTTAAATGCCTTCATATATGACGTTAAGTTGGTTGATCACCATTTGAATGATTGCAAGCATTTGGAAATATTTGCAAAGATTTTGAAGAGAAAAACATCAGCATCCGTGTTTAAGGGCTGCATGAAAAATGACTAGACGGTCAGACAACAGTCCATGACGAGGATGGTGCTTCAGTGACCTGCT